GTATGCCTCAGGCACTGTGGTCATAGGATTCAAGATGAATGAGATGACTCTGGGTGATGTGTTCATTGCCAGATACAGTAGCACTCCAGGTCACTGTCAAGGCTGATGAGAATTTTTCAGGCACTGCATGCAGAAGAAACACATAGAAGACTAATGGCTAGATAATGCCTTAGCTCATTTGCAAAAATCAGCTCTGGCCCCTGTGACTCGAGGCAAGAATTTTAAAACAATTTCCTTTTGTCCTCATCAGTGAACCTCTTAAAATATTCTTGATAAGATTTTCAAATTACTCACAATTTTCCAAATCTCTGTTCATTCCTTACTTTATAAGAGTAAAGTGAAGTCTGAAGTCCCTGACAGTAATCAACACTTCCGGCTGTTGGAAATACTTTTCCTCCTGGGCTTCCATCACACTCCACTGTTCATAATGTTTTTGGTCTCTCACTGTGTTTCTTTTCAGTCCACTCCCTTCATCTTTCAACATGTTGTTTTTCCCCATCGATATATCATTCACCCTTATCTCTTTCCCCCGTATATACTCTTATTTTAAAAATAATTTATTCATATAAATTCTACTATCTTCTCTATCACTTATACGTTGGTGATTTCTTAAGTGGCATTCTATACTTTAATCTAATTCTTGAACTTCTGATTTGAATGTGGAAGTTCCTTTAGGACATCTTTTCCTAGATTATTTCTAGGCCCTTCAACTTCAACATATTTAAAACCATAAGTATTACCTCCCCTGCCTGAAGTCTGCTTATCTATCTTTATTTCTTCTATAGATGAACGATTATAATCTTATATTTTCCTGGATGAAGCTGGAGCCCATTCTACTAAGTGAAGTATTACAAGAATGGAAAAATGAACACCACATGTACTCACCATTAAATTGGTACGAATCAATCAACAGTTATGTGCACATACCATTCATCAGGTGTCGGGTAGTTTGGGGGGGGAGTGAAGAGAGGATGGGTAAATTTACACCAAATAGGTGTAGTGCATTCTGTCTGGGGGATGGGCACACTTGTAGCTCTAACTCAGGTGGTTCAAAGGCAATTTATGTAACCAAAGCATTTGTACCCCCATAATATTCTGAAATAAAAATAAATAAGTACAGTTTTAAGTTATAAGATCTAAAAACCTATGAGAAAGCCTAGGAAGAAGCTCTGCCCTTCCTCTGTCAATATGTCTGGTTATTTGTAGTGCTTCCAAAGTACCTCCTTTTGAGTTTAACTCTTCCAATATAATACCCATCATTTCCTTTCTATCCCCACTATCATTGTCCTGGATAAAACGTTCTTTGTTATCTGGATTATTGTAATAGTGTTCTTATTTATTGCCCTGTTGATAAAGTCTTCCCTCTATGCTAATAATAGAGTTATCTTTTTTAAAAAAATAAGATGGCAACTATCTTTACTTAAAAACTTTCCCCCCTCATTTCATATAGAAAATAATCCACTGCCCTTTGTTTGCATGCCATTTTCTTACCTTTTTTTCTACAATAATTTAAATATACTCATGATTTTAAGCAGAAATGGACTAAATACTTCACCTAGGAGTGGGAAGAAAAGAAGAAAACACCAAACCTAGGAACAGGTGGCACATCTAAAATACAAAAAAGTTGAAACTATAAGAATGGAAAAGAAATACCAAAGACAAAAACATAATAAGATCTTTTTAAAAGCCAAGAGAAAATATAAACAGAATCAAAGAAATAGGCTAAGTATGTTGTCAGAGCTCATTAAATATTATTTTTGTTAAGATAAGTATTCAAGTTTATATAGTTAGTGATGAGATAGTATTTTAACCCAGACAGTCTAAAGTCCATAAGCTCTTAAGTGCCAAAATGAACTGCACAGGCACAGATTAAAAATTGTAAACAAAAAAGGGAATACAAAGGAACATATTAACAGATTTGAATACCGCAAGATATAAAACGATGGTATATCAAAATGTACCCTTATAAAAGTTAAGAGAAAAGCTAGACTTGACAAAAAATATTTTTAATCTGTTCAGTCTCTCTATATAATTACCAGTTTACAGGTATTATAAATTCAGAGACACATGCTAAGTGACCCCATAGATCACTAGCATAAAAATCACCCTTTTTACTGAGGGGAAATTACACTGCAGCCTAGCAAAATATTTGTCCCCAAGTAGTCAAATGGTCTTCTCTATCTCCATCCTTCCCCTTCTCTCCCCGGTTCTACTAAATTATATTTATCCTTTTAATTTCAGCACAAACATCTCTCCCTTGGAACAGCCTTTAATGAAGTTCCACACCTAGGCAGAATCTCCTCTATCATGTACTCTTATAACCTTGAAAATCTTCCTTCGTAAAGCTTATCACATTTTCAAAAGTTTAACATTAGTTTATACAGGTATTTAATTACACTCTAATCAGTTTGACTAACTCACTTCTATCTCCTTTCCAATAGACTCTAAGTTCCATGAGGCTAGAAGTGCTATAACAGTTGAGTGAATAAAGAAGAATGTCTCTTCAGTCAATAGTGCAGCTTTAGGAAGACACATTTGCACCAATAAAGAACAAAGTGGGCAACTGCTAGCTGGAGGGATATCTGAACCAATCCTGAGATGAACATGGGGTGACAGCAATGGCAGGTAGATCACTATTATATTCACAAAGATTAAAAAAGAATAAGACACATACAAAAAAAAAAAAGTTGTGGCCAGGTGAAGTACAAACTGTTTCCCAGAAGTATAATGCAAATATTAATGAAGCCCAGGAAAGTAAATTTTTGCATATTAAATCCATAATATGCTAACGACCAGCCAGAAACAAGCAAGTGCTGTTCTGGCATGACACTGTGAGGAGGAATGGTCATTGAGCACCAGAGTCTTGACTATGAGTTCAGATGGTTTAGGTTATTTCTCTACTACAATTCCTTAAGGAGTTATTTTAAAAATGATTTGTTTTTAAATGACAATTAACATACATTGAATTAAATAATAATAATGATGACAACACACCATTTATGGAGCAGCATGTATATGATTCAGTAAAAATGTAACTGTAATGCTTATTCGGCCTTCCCCCCAAAGCAAGTTCTTCCCTCACCTTTATCCAGGAGGGAAAGCCTGCATCCCTTCCTGAGCTTGTGGGCATCAGTGGCCATTGCATAAATGGCTGTTGAGTGTCCACACAGCTTAAGTCAGACGGGCACTGGACAACGTCTCAGAGCACAGAGATAAAATTCTTGCTGGGAGTTCTCTAGGTCATTCAAGATGCTGCTGATTACAAATCCACTTCAAAAATAGACCACACAGCCAGCATCATAGATCCTAGGAATAGGTACAGCAAAGGACATGTGCTCTGGTTGGAAGACTCAACTTCCATGCAACTACTAGATACTCAAACAAAGCCCCAAACAGGAGTTGCCTTTGCTACTTCAGTTTCATGCTAAGGTCATAGAACATTTTCCTGAAGACTATGTATAGTCCATCTGCTTGTGTATCTGCAGTCATTTCTATCTCAGATCTTGCAACATGCCTAAACTTTTATTGATTTTGCTATAACTAGGATCCCCCAAGCTACTTCGTCTCTTATCTTATTCCTCCCACCTCTAGCTTAGGGAAATATAATTTAAATCTGGGGAAGTATTCATCAAAAGCACTTGGCATAATCTTTTTAATGGATTTAAGCTCTTAGAACTTTCCCTTAGAAATAATCAACTTTGGGTGCTGGTGGTATTCTTAGATAAATTTAAGTCTTTTGATTTTCATATTCAAAGGCGGCCAGCTTTAAGGCATGGCAAATGGCCATGGGTTCTTTATTCCCATTATCTTGAAAACTTCTAAGACAATTTTTCATATATTTTTTGCCTTTGTTTTGCTAACCAGAGTTTCAAGCTACCCTATTTCTCATTGTCACACCACATCTTTCTGACACTATAAATGTATGTGATCAACAGCACTACTATGAACTAGCCATTTGTCAAGTTAATAGTGCCTTTGCCTTGAAAAGAAATGGAAATATTTCTGTTCATTCTCTGTCCCCTTCAAAGATCCCTTGAACTGTCCTAATCCCCTTTCTCTTGCCATTATTTCTTTGGGCAAGTGATCCAATATGCTGGATCATTCCTTTCGATTTTACCTTTTACTACTTTTGCAGTGAAAATTGGAACATGACTCATTAATAACATATATCCCTTAGATTTTGACCTTTGCTTCTTCTGACCTCTAATTTCTATTTTAGAACTTTTTTTTTTAATTCTAGACTTTCCTAAGCCTACACTGGTTATGTGGACCTTTTTGTTAATGATGAATAAATATATAGTACAGATTAAGGGACTGCAATGTACATTATAAAACCTCATTATTTTTTTGTGGCTCCAGAATACACTCTTTTTCTTTCCATAATCAACATTACCAGATGCAATCTGTGTCAATTATAAACAAGTTTAAAGTATGTGGTAGAATAATGATTAAAACACTTAAGAACAAACCTTACAGCAAATTAGAATAATTTAATTCGTACAGAGTCCACATTATAAATTCTCTTTTTAGGGGAGTCTGGGTAAGGAGAGAGAGATACTCTGAGTAAACAGAGCCATGTTGAAGAAGGACAGCCAGGGTTCAAAAGCCAAGACATGTATCTGTCACCTTTACTTTGGAAGAGTAAGCACTAGGATCCTAACTGAATACAAGGCGAGAGTTTGGGATCTTGTTGAACAGAGAAGCCAAGCAAGAAGTTCAAACATTGAGCAAAGGAGAATTTTAATCATAAATAGAGTTGTGCTGTCCAGAGCTCTCTACATTTTGGTCCTGGCTACCTGGCATCTGGGCAGTTTAGACATGTAAAAAGCACAGGCTTTGTTTGAAACTAAAAGGATTATAAATAGTGCCCCTTATATCTATATATAAGCTACAGTTGTAATAAATAAACTTTGTTGGCTTTCTTTGAATTGTTAAAGTTAATTGAATTGAAATACATATGTATGCACTCATATACTCACACATTCACACTTCAGAATTACCTGCATGATATTGTATGCACAACATAGTTACGATAATTTCTTTCTTAAAAAATTTTTCCTTTTCTGCCCCTCCCCCCATACAGCATTCCTCTCCTCACTCCTTTCCCAACTGTTTGCACTGGTTTGGCTATCATCTGAGACTGCCACTTGCCAACCAGGGATTCGCTCTCTCCCCTCCCCCCAGGACTGGCTCAGAATGGAATGTATTATGGAATGTATGGACAATGGCAGCTAAAGGAAAAGAGAAGATGAGTAACATTCCAAAGTCTGGGAAAACAGACAACCAATCTTAGGCTAGTTTATTTACAGATTTCAAGGCCACAAGGACTATGCTCCTTTCCAGGGCCAGAGCTCCAATCCCCACGGAGGACGAGAGGATGAGGCTCATAAGGAAAAGGTCAAAGGATGGAGGACACAGACTCAGAGTGGGAAATATGATGGTGAGGTCTGAGGCCAGGAGTCAGAGCAATAGCTGTTGAGGGCTGGTCACTTGGATGTTGAAATCAGACCAAGAGGCATCACAGGTATTAACTCAGTGAACAGGATAAACACCCATTGGTTCATTCTGGTATATTTCACTCCAAACTAATTAGTAGTAAGGAGGAATCAGGCATAATGTTAAAGCCAGTGCTCAATATCAGATCAATAGTTCCTGAGTTATTGGGAGGATAATCTGAACTGATAGGGCATCTGGATTTCTCCCCAGAAGGATATAGAATCAATCTCTCTTCTGTGTTCCATTCCTAGTATTTATAAATAAAGCACTATGTGCCAGAATGGTCACTGGTTGAATTTTAAAGCCCATGTCCTTTCTGACTGGTCAGTGTCCTGACCTTACCAGCTATCAAATATTTGAATATCACCTTTACTTATACCATGTGCTCTTTTTGATCAAAGCTCCCTTGTGATTTTGTTGTAATCCTACTCATATGCTTGATCCTCTCCATTATAGAACCTTCTTCAGTACAGTGATAATATCTCAAATGATAATAGCTGCAATTTCTTGACTAATTAATGAATGCCAAAATCATGCTAGATATTTTATGTACATGAGTGCTCATTTCTGTATTAAATCTATGATGCATTATTATTTTTATCCTCCTTATATAGATAATAAACTAAGATTAATAAAGTTTAAGTAACTTTCCAAAATCAATAAAATATTTATGAATCTATGTTCCTTTTTCTTTCCATTTTTTTTTTTGAGGTAAGGCCTCATTCTATTGCCCAGGCTAGAGTACAGTGGCATCATCATAGCTCACTGCAACCTCAAACTCCTGGGCTCAAGCAATCCTCCTGCCTCAGCCTCCTGAGTAGCTGAGATTATAGGTGTGTATCACCATGCCTGGCTACTTTTTAAAAAATGTTTTGTAGAGACAAGGTCTCGCTATGTTGCTCAGGCTGTTGTTTCCATTAAACTGTGGCATATTTCATATCTTGTTTGCCTTTTCACCCCATTCTTTGCTATGGTTGCTGGCACATTTATTAAATCAATGAATTGATTAATTGAGTCAATTAATCAGGCTCTATTTCTGGCATTGGGGGTACTGTGATGAGAACAACAGAAATTTCTATCCTTAGTTTAGCTTTTGTTCTAGGAAAGCAGACAATAAGCAGAGATGACAGATAGATATTAATAAACAAAATATGTAAATAAGTAAAACAAAATAATGATGATGTAAATTTTATAAACAATAAATCAAGTAAGGGGGTAGTGCATGACTGGTGTACTGTTTAGATAGGATGGTCAGAGGTCTCCCTGCGGGTGGCAACTGAGCAAACAACCTGAATGAAATAAGAGAAATCTCTTAGTCTATTTACGGTGCTGCAGGCAACATGAGGGTCAGTATGTTTGGAACGAAATGAACGTGGAAGAGTAGCAACAGAAAAAAGTAAAGTCAGAATGACAGCCAAGGGCCAGGCACTGTGGCTCACGCCTATAATCTTAGCACTCTGGGAGGCTGAGGCAGGAGGATTGCTTGAGCTCAGGAGTTCAAAACCAGCCTGAGCAAGAGTGAGACCTTGTCACTACTAAAAATAGAAAAAAAGTAGCAAGTCATGGGTGGTGCATGCCTATAGTTCCAGCTACTTGGGAGGCAAGAGAATTGCTGGAGCCCAGGAGTTTGAGAGTTTGGGGTTGCTCTGAGCTGGTCTGATGCCACGGCACTCTAGCCCAGGCAACAGAATGAGACTCTGTCTCAAAAAATAAATAAATAAAAAGAATGACAGTCAAGTACCAAGTGGTAGAGGACCTTGTAGAAAAAGACTGTGGTTTTTACTCTGAGTGGCATGAAAACTATATTAAACAGTTTTTACATTTTTTAAATATCCTTCTGTCTGTTGTGTGGAAAATAAACTTTCCTGGCTACTAGGAGAAGGAAGAGGCCAGTATTCAGATAAGAATTTGTACTGACTTAGACCAGAGTGGTTGCAGTGAAGATTAGATTCTGGATATATATGGAGCTAACATGTCTGCTTACTGGATTGGACATGAATTGGAAGAGAAAGGGAGAAGACATAAATAATTTCAAGTTTGGGTCTGGACAACTGGGAAAATGGGGATTTGCTCATCAAATGAGGTGCAGCCTTCTGATCTATGTGATATTTAGCCTTAAGATGGAGTAAATATGCACTTTACCTCCTATCTACATGTGTGTACCCCTCAAAATGCTCCTTAGTCTTCTGTTGCATCTTTAGGAAGAGAAATAAATTGTTCAACTTTGATGTATTTCCCTTATTCAAATCTATTTTTTTTCTCCTGTGTTGACAGCACCGTGGTTAACAGTACACAAATATCCACCTAGATACCCAGTTAAATAACTTGGAATTATCCTGGATTCTACCTATTTGTACACCTCTCATTTCAACCATGCACTAAAGTCTATAATTTTTCCCTGCAAAAATTCCCCTCAAGTTCACTGAGCCCCTACACAGAAACCTATTTAGACAACCCGGTATCCCTTACAGGAACCAGGCACTGTAGCTGGACCGATTTCATTTAAATTCTCATGCCAGTTGAACTGCTGAGGCCACTGCCTCTCTCCAAGTCAGGGCTCGGGCCAGCCCTCGTGGTTCATTTACATAAAATAGAAAACAGCATCCCCTGTTTCTGGTTGCCCAAATTATTACATACCATACTCAAAACACTAATTTTTACATCACGTTTTTTCTACTTTTTAAAGAGACCTCAACCAATAGTTACTTCCTTCACATTTTACCTAAAGATGGCAAAAGGTACATGGTTACTCATGCACTTGGCTTAGATATTATGCTTGTTAATAATCACCAAAGGCAAAGCAAAGAACAAAAAACAGGTATGCAGTCAAATGCAAAGAAAGAAGCAGGACCAAATATTCTTTCAAAGGGAGTTAAAATTGGTCTTTGCAATTACTGATAAAAACCTAAGGGCTAAATGATGTAATTGTCCCTTTGTTATTGAGAGTGGACCAAAGGAAGTTTTGTGCAGGGCAATAATACTTTTGAATTCTGATTAAAGAGAGTCACACAATCCAGAACTCATTTTTGTGTATGGTTTCTGTTTCAAATGCCTCCCCCAGAAACACCCTCCCCCCCAAAAAAAAATACTTTAGTTGCAGATTGAGGCATTTACTAAAATTGGTAATGATAAACTATTAACAAACTTTCAACTGCTGGAATTATAGAGAAAAAGCATGGCATGTGATAGTGGCAGGTAGAGCTCAATCCTTAGGCATCCATCACAGCACTAGGTTTCTTATGAATCTGAATGTACAACTCTTAGATTATTTCAAATTCACAATTTTGGCAATGACATGGCAGCTGGCACTCATGGAATATTAACTTAGCACACATTGATGCCAATTGTGTGCTCCATGGATCAACTTGCCACCTTTTCTTCAACATAGCAGCAGCTGTTTGGCTTACACGTTCAGTTTCAGGGGAAGGGGTAATATTAGACATACTTATGGAAGCATAAATCCTGTATATAAGCACAGACAGATGTGAATATTGTGATTGAATGAACTTGCATCATTAAATTGTTCCAAGCAATTATTTAACTCTTTACCAGTTAACTTTTAGTCCTTATACATATTTGGAAAATATAATTAAAAACAAAATCTCTTCCCAACCCAGAAAACTTCTCCACAAAGGCAGAAGAGAAAGGAAACTATTTTATAATTGCATAAGCATTAAAACAGAATATGATGCATATCACAGGCAATTTTCTAAGAGATTGCAAAAGCAGACAGAAATTTTATCTTTTTATATAGCCAAGCAAATACACCCCATTACATGTATGGTCTCAAGATAAACTATAACTAGTCCCCATATAAGAGGACTGACAGCACAGTTTGTTACACAGAGTTAATCCTAAATTCATTTGGTAATTGAAGGTGACCATCTGTGTTAGCTAATTAGCTTTATCCAAAGGAAAAATAAATTTGTCATATCTTTGTGACAAGATGTAGTCTTGACAAGATGCAACTTAGAGCAAGACATTCTAAAGTTAGGCACGGCAACTGGAAGATAGGGGTGCTATCTTCCTCGAGTATTACATTTCAAAGTGATGCTCCTAGGTTTCTGAGAAAGATTTCCTGGGTCATAAAGCTAGCAAGAGGCTTACTTAGCTTTTAAATGACTTGCATGTATCTCAGAGAGACAGAGAAAGAACTAAATTATAAATTTTCTGAAGTAAATGTTCTAAGCAAAGGGAGGGGAAGTCTCTTTTCTTATTTTAAACAGGGAGAACTATTTATTTTGAATGTGCTCTTATACATAAAACCTGTTATGTAATACATACTTATTACTTACTATTGATTCTTATTGACATGATAAATAAGACAACTCCCAAACTGAGGGAGGAATATAAGCAAAAGAATAATAATCAGTAGAATGAAACAGAAAATTAATGATATAGCAAGAAAGCATACATAGACAATCCACAATGAGATGGTAGACAATGGGTTTCCATTATGGAGGTAATGATCTTGGGATGTGGGGTGAAGCTAACTTGTGCTGGAATTCTGTTTCTTTCACTTACCTTCAGTGATCTTGGACATGTTGTTAAACCCTGGGCATGTTAACTTTGTTTCTTCACCTGTGAAATGGTTATATTTCATTTAATCCAACATGTCATTGATTATAAGCGGCACCATTTTT